GGGGTCCCCCCCCCCCCCCCCATTCCGGGATGCCGGTGGGAGGGAACCCCCTCCCTTCTGGAAGTCACACCTGGATTTATCCCCATCTCCTCCCTGCGGAGAGGTGCAGAGCTGGGGATGCCGGGAGGAGGGAGATGGGGAGCTGGTGAGGCACAGGAAGGCTTTTTAATTAAATATTTAAATATTAAATAATTAAATCTATGAAATTGGGGGGGGTTGGTCAGCTTTTAGAGCTGGCTGCTGACAAAGAGCCCTTCGTAGCATCCCTTTGGGAGGAAACACCCCACCACGGCCCGGGGGGATGATGCTCTTGGGATGCTGGGGGAGATTTCCCCCTTTTAGGGGGATGCGCTTCGTCCCCCCTACATTTTTGGGGTCCCCCAAAAACCTGGCTGGGGGAAAGCACTGCTCGAGGAGAGAAATAAGTGCATAGACATCTCCTGGTATTTATTCCACCGGTTATGACGGTACCACGGCAGGGGGAGAGCACAGGAGGTGGGGAGGGGGGGAACACACACACACACACACACACACACACTCGACACAGCGCACGAACTACGGCACGACGGAGGAGCAGGAGGGAGATTCCTTCTTTTTTTTTCTTTTTTTTTATGTCCCATATCACTCTGTTCTTCTCCTGGGAGGAACACGGATCCCACAGGAGCGGATCCCACCCCGGGAGAGGGAGAATCTGCCACCGCCGCCTGTGGGGCTGCTGTGGGGTGGGGAGAGGGGGGGGGTTTATTCCTTTCTGGCATTAATTCCAGCTTTATCCCTCCCATCCTGGGCTGGATGGGATGGTGTAGCAGGTCCTTCCCAGCCACCTCCTTGGAAGGGGATGGTATTTCTCCCGTGAGGACGATGGAGGATGGGGGAGGGAGGATGGAGGGGGTAGAAGAAGGGGGGACATTTCTCATTGCTCCTCGTCCTTGAGAAGCAAATTGGAGCCTCCCTGTCATCTCTAGGAGGCTGGGTGGAAAAATGTAGGCAGAGACAGGGCGTAGGGGCCACCACTCTGCTGGAAAACCTCGACCTGATGGGCTTCAATGACACCCCAAGGTTATTTGGAATAACCCCCCCCCCCCCCCCCCCCCCCCCCCAAGTTTTCATTTTAACACAAAAACACATCTTGTGGCCTGTGCAGCAGCTCTGGAAGGCGTTCCAAGGGAGAAGCTATGAAGAGCTGCCCTGCAGCTGCAGGGCAGTAAACAACGTGGCCAGGCACCAGCTGGGGCTT